AAAGGACTTTCCGACTCTCGGCCTCATGGAGCTCTTTGTTTGCCGGCTTCGTACAGGCCGGCCTCACCAAGACGGCGCTAGCCATCTTTCATAAGATGGCTCGGCAAAGCGTCCAGCCGAACGAGCCTCTGCTTGTAAGCACTATATCGGCTTGCTCCCAACTCCGAGCATTGGAACATGGCCGATCTGTCCACCGCTACATAGAAACCCTAGGCATCAACATAACCGTCATTATCGGCTCCGCCCTGGTCGACATGTACGGAAAATGCGGCGGAATAAAAGAAGCCATACATATCTTCAACACAATGCCAGAACGAAACATCTATACCTGGAACTCGATAATCACGGGTCTCGCCATGAACGGTGCCGGAAGACAGGTCCTAACGCTCTTCTACAAAATGACGCTCGCCGGAGTATCACCCAACAACATAACATTCATTGATTTGCTCAGCGCTTGTAGCCACAACGGTCTAGTCGAAGAAGGCCGAATGGTGTTCGACGAAATGACTAGGGTTTACGGCATCGTCCCTGACGAGGAGCATTATGGGTGCATGGTGGATTTGTTGGGGCGTGCTGGTTTAATTGAAGAGGCTTTGGATTTCATCGGGAGGATGCCGATTGAGCCGCATCCGGGAGTGTGGGGAGCGCTGGCTGGAGCTTGTAGGATCCATGGTGAGATGGAGCTTGGTGAAGAAATCAGCAGATGGTTGATCGAGCTTGAGCCAAGCCATGGCGGGAGATACATACATTTGTCGAATATATATGGAGATGGTAGAAGGTGGAATGAGATGGCAATGGTGAGGCGGGTGTTGAAAGAGAGACGGGCGGTGAAGCCTCCTGGCGGTAGTTCGGTGGACGTACAGCATGACTAAAAAAATGTATTATTTTTAGGCTGTATTTACAAAAAGCACACCCAATTCCTATGTATTTATAGGGCTAACATCTAACTTCTAATTTTTACATTTGGGCATTTACATACATATAACTCAATTTTATTTAGCATAAAGCTCTTAAATAATCATATTTACCTATAAAGACTTCCAAAGATTAAATTTACGCAAAAAGGTCATTATTACGATTTCGTCCGCCTACGTCCAGTTAGCCCCGACTCGACTCATTGCTCGTGAATCAGTTCAGTTTAAAAGTATTTAATATAAAATATATTCAAAATATAAAAAATTTCATAATTTTGTTTTTTAATTAGCAAAAATGTTTTAAAAATTGATATTTAACTTTTTTTTAATTAGATTGTTTCTTATTATTTATCTCATAATTACTCAAACATTTGGCATTTTATTATAATATTTGCTTAAATAAATATTAGTTTCGCTCCTTCATGATAAACAAGCCGGCGCATGAGCTGGCTCAAACTCGTAAAAGTAAGCTTATGATCGAGCTTGAATTAGATTAATTAGTCGAGCTCAAGCTGAGAGTAACTTTTGCTAGACTCCTCAAACTTGTTCACCACTAGTTATGAATATAAGAAAATAAAATTTAGATGTTAGATATGCAAATATATAATAAGTGGGTGGTATGTATGTAAATTCCCTAAATAAAATTCACAACATTATTGAAATATGTATTGAACGTGCAAGTTCACAAATGGCCTTGGTGACATATTTTGGGGGTATTCAAATGAAGCAAATGAAGAGAAATATGTTCATATCATAAATAAAAATATATTGCATATATAAAGTTTTTAATTACATTCACATCATTCAAAATATTGATATTTACAAATTAGGCATCAAGATATATATATTTTTTTTTTTCGATTCTATGTACCTACAGACTCCAGCACCAGACAACTGAGAAATTCATGAAAATGAAAGAGGGTGGTTAATTTGTAAATAGCAAGGAATGCAATTGCCCCAATTATTTTTGAACATATTTGCATGCATACCATTATATCTTATGTATTTACATATTGACCCGTAAACTTTAAGTTTGACACATGTTGCATTTTCGATGCATGAAAAGGTGTATTTCACGTGTTAAAAATTAAAGAATTGGTTATTTTGATGTGATTGGAAAGTATTAGATGGTATAAATTAGCACGGTTAAAGTTTATATGTTATATTAGGAATTGAATTGGATGGTGTGTATGTAAATCTGATTTTAATCTTTGTAGTCTTCTAGTATAATTTAATTATTTCATGCCAGAACGAGTAAAACACGAATAAATAAATTTACACGAATAAATAAATTTATATTCGTGTTTGACTCGTTTATATATCGAACACGAAGTATTCACGAACAACGAGCCGTTTTGAGAGTCTTACACTAAAGAGAGAGAGTTTTCATTGTACGTGCAGAAATCCATCATTTTCATGCCGAGGTAAAATGAAATGTATAAATATGAAAGTTGAGGGGTGAGATAATTAAATCCATAACAATTGAGTGCTAATTATGTAAATTTCTCAAAAGTGTAAAGCAGTGGTGGAAGGATATAGGAATCACTCCCTAAATTTTTTGTTAAACACATTACTATCATATAATACGTCAAAAAATTTGCTCCTTGCCCCCCTCTCCCTCTTCCTTTTAGACTTAACTACTTAATAATAATTTAATTTCACCCCTTCTTTTCGAATTCTATTTCTACTATTGTTTTGAAGTGCAAGCAAAGGAACATCGAGCTTTCGAAAGTAGAAAGTTCGGTTATATATGTATGCTCAAAAAATGTCTGTGTGAATCTTGATAGATTCGACGGTAAAGAGGAAATAATAGATAAGATATCTGTTGGAACTAATCTTTCTAGCTAAACAATCGGCTACCCTTGACTGACCACCTCTCTGGACCGGCCGTCCTACTTCGACTGGCATTTAAAAATAAGAAATTTATGTGCAACCACTCCATCCTTCTATATGCTTATATGCCAACTCCACATTAAAATAAAAGAACTAATAATAAATCCCAACACAAAAAAGTGATAAATCCCCAATATATTCCCCACGGACATGAGTCATTTCTTCCGCAAGAGCTTTGTTCAACAGAGTATAAGGTTCTCCTAATTATCCAACTTCCTGACCTCCCTCTATCGATCGGCCATGCCTTTGGCTGGCCTTCATTGGATGCCCACTATATTAAAAGAAGGTTCACATGCATACCATTTTTCTTATATAAATATATGTCACCTCACTTCTCCGGCCAGCAAGCTCCATCAACCGGCAACCTAATCGGCCAGCCACCAGCCTGCAAACATACAATTAGTGTTGTTCTCTCTTCAAGCTTGATAGTGGGAGACATTTTTTAAGTCAATAATATAAAACCATCACTTTCTCATATCATAGAAGGTGTCAAGAGAGTGTCATAACCTTGTTTAACCATTATCAAGTAAGATGATGGCATTTATATTGTAAAAGCTAGAGAGTAATCGAGAAGAGGTCAAACTGTCAGAAGAATGCTAGATGAGAAGCTCGTGCATGCCCAAGAAAGTCTAAAATATCCAACTCTGCTCTTTTAAAGCAACGACAACATTGTAATTTACTTATTGGGCATTCTCATCTATAAACAGAATGACCCTTTCACTTAAGGAGACTTTTGGCTCCCACCTTTTTGTAACATTTTTTTTAATGGAATAAAATGAGTCTGTAAGCACGGGAACACCCCATTTTCCTACGTTGGGGTAAATCTTCCTTTCCCTCTCTCGCTCTCTTTGTCTCTCCTTCTTTCGATCTCTTTTCCTAGGTTTAACGCTCTATTCTTTGGGCACAATTCACCGAACAAATTTAGATTCAACATCATTTAAGGTGCAGTGAGTCTGGATCGCGTTGTCAACAAGAAGATGAGTGGTGCCGAGGATAAATCCTCCACGGAGGCACTCCGTGTAAGGTAACTCGCACAATGATAGACCTGGAGCTAAAAGCAAACACTTCCATCGTTTTCAAAGAGGTTGTGGCTTGGTGTGAAGCACCACAAAGTGGATGGGCTCTCATGAGCAAACTCTCGGGGACTCTTGCATATTCAAAGAACAAATACATGAGGACTCTTGTGATTCCAAAGAGCGAACACACATGTGTAAATAAACAACGACAAACATTTTGAACTGAGGGCAGAAGAATTACTCCCTCGAATTCATAAGAAGGGTGAGGTTTCTCATGACTTCATCGATGTACCGAGGAAAGTATGAGGTCCGGTGACGAAAGCCCTTCTCACTAATCGTAGCCCTAACAATGTTAATGTCGGAGTTGAAGCATATTAGGATGACGTGGGAAAATTGGTGGTCTCGGAACTCATGCAAGAAGCCCGAAAGAAGATTGTGAGGAACTAACATTTTTCCTGTGTCACACGAAAATCTTTTCCCACTGCCTATACCAACCGACCAACTAATACATGTGTGCTCTCTGTCGTGCGAACTTCATCTCTCCGCTCGTCAAGACCACCGACCGGCCATTTGACCAGCCTACTATTCATGTAGACCAGCTGCTCCGCTCCTCCCCAGCCATCTTGGTCGCAACGACCAACACAACTCAGTTGACCGTCATTTTAAATCTAAAGAGAAATTTACATAAATACCACTTCTCTTGTGTCCAACCTACCACCTTAATAATCTTAATGGTCATCCATAGGGCGGTCAAAACAGCTCGTGTTCGGCTCGTTAAGAAGCTTGTGTTCGGCTCGTTAATTTCGTTCGATAAGTTAACGAGTTGAACATGAAGTAAGATGTGTTCGTTCATGTTCAGCTCGTTTTGGCTCGAAATACTACTCATCAAGTTTATATATATATATATATA